TAAGAATAGTTATTAATGGTATTTTAATAATGATATAAGTGAAAAATTGTTATAAATCTTTTTAGATCTTTAAGTTAACATTTCTTTCACAAAAGCCCAAACTGAGCTCAAATTTCAGGGTTTTGGTCCATAACTTTGTCTAAGAGGTGTAGCCTTGATTGAATTTGTTCTTAACAATTGTCGTGAGCCGCGAACCTACTCAAAGCATCAATTTGAGATGAGGAAGTCTCTGTAGTATTTCGATCAAGGGGTGGTTCGGGTTTGGTCTTGGACTAGGTTGGAGGGCTCGGGAAGGACCAATCCTCGTGTGTCCCTGGGAAGCTTTTGAAGAGCTTAATTGGAACTGTGGTGGAGGTTTATGGTATGGCTGTGAAATGCCCTGGATTTTGAGCTCAAAATCAAGGTCAGGTAGTGGGGGAGATGGCTTGAAAATGGTTAGTGTGTGCTTAGGAAGGCTGAGGGGAGGTCTGGAGTGATTTTGGCTAGGCTTTACCAAGTCTAGTGTTTATGTTCCATTTGGCCATGAGGAGGTGGTGGCTTTATAGGCAAGGCCATGACTGCCAATAGGGCAGACCAGGGCGGCCAAAATAAAGCATAGGTGGAAGGAAAAAGAGACCTATGGGCCAATAGGGGTAAGCCAGCTCAGGGAGTCATAATTTTGGGTTTTTGCCATGGGTGACCTCTCAGGCTTTGTGTTTTTTGGTGGCTAGGGTGGCTGGCCGCCAAGGGAAGTCACCTCCACACTGTGGGAGGTAGAAGGTCAGGTGTCGGGAGATGTGGAGTCAATGTGGTCCAAGCATGGTGATTTCGATTTTCCCCAAAATGAGTAATGGGTTGGGTTATGTTGGTTTAACCATGGTTTAACCCTGTGCATATGAGTTAATGTCCTTCCTAAGGTGGCTTGAGTGGTTTGGTCAACCCCCTAGGCCTTTGGGTGATTGATTTGGCATGGGGAAGGGGAATTTGGTTGGATTAGGGTTTGGGTAAGAGGCTTGGTGGGAGGAGAAAGAAACCCCTCCTTTTGCCATATTTAGTGTGCATGGGCCATATGAGGCTCATGGATGGTTCCATGGGTGGCTTCATTTGATGCATGGGGCCATGGGGTGTTTTTCATTAGAAAGGCATGTGGGTTTTTTCCAAATTTTTGTGGGAGAAGGTCATCAGACCCAAAATGGATGATTTGAAGCATGGATGCATGATGCATGACCATGGCACATGGTTTTAATTAAAAGGATGATGAGATGAAAATTTGTCATGTGGGATTCAATTAAGTTTAGAATGGGCTTTTGAATTTTGGTATGAGGGGTTGATTTGGGCTTTTGATTTAATTTTCATGGCTTTAAAAATTAAACATGTGGAATTCTTATGAGGTCTTGAATTCACGATGATGAAGTTTAGGACATAATATGGAGAAGTTCAATTTGATTCATGGGGTTCAATTTAGTGGAAATTGGCTTGAGGTAATTTTTGGACTTTATGGGATTTTGGTAGAAATTAATTTTAGGATTGGCTTGAATTTGGACTTTAGGTGTGGATATTGGGTTTGAACTTGAGGATGGGAGTATTGGAGATGGATTTGGTGAAAATTGAGAGTGATTTGGGGCCTTTAGGCTTCTAGGGTTGATTTGTCAATTTTGGCCAATTGTGGTGGATTTGGGTACAATTGAGGTCAATGGGTGGTTAGGATTAATTTGAGTGAAGTTTGGTATGATTTTTGTGATTTTTAGAAATTTTCTGAGAGTTTTGGGACTTTTGGGTAAATTTGGGATTTTAGATGGATTTAGGCTTTAGGGTGTTGATCATGCATATAATGAATAACCATCTTGGAAACATAAGACACCAAATAAGAACTCATTTTGGATGCTCAACATGTTGGTCCTAATCATTTTAGCCAAAGGCTAAGCGCTTGGGTCCACTCACATGAGCTTCCTAAAGGAGTAAGGAGGTGAGTCAAGTTTAAGTGATTTTAGGGTTTTGGGGTGTGTATAAGTGTGTGTGAAACCTAAAATGAACCACCCATGGTCAAAGAGGGTGCCCCTAAGGCTTCACATTCCTATAGAGACTCAATTTGAGCTTTTTCATGTTGGTTCCATCATTCTAAGTACTAGAGGTCAAAACCACACATGTGAAATTTTAAAAAGAGTAAAAAAATTGGTTGGAGTCTCTATAGTGTGGGTGATCCACCACTAAGCTTCTAGGATAGTCAAAAGGAAAATCATATGGCTAGATTCTAAGCTTCTAAGGAAAAGATGACCCTATCAAAAAACAGGTCAACAATTTTCTCTATTTAGTCACTTCTTGTATGTCTTTATGTAGGATTGATGTAGTAGTACTTTCTGTTTTAATGCATTAATGTTACTTTTGCTCTACTTTAGTTTATATTGCCTGTGTGTTATAGTAATATTTCATTTTGCACTTTCTATGCTATACGTGTTGATTTTATATGTACTACTACTCAACACCTGTGTTTACTACTTGCACTTTACTACTTGCACTAGTTCTTTACTACTTGCACTAGTTCTGCTTTAGTACCCTATTAAAATTGATTTTGTTAAACTTTTCTCTTCATAATTGCTTTTCACTTTAATGTTTTACACTTTAAAAATTCATGTTTGGGGGAGGGAGAAAAACTTTTTTAAAACTAAAAATTTTGTTTGTTCTCAATCAACTTTATATTTTCAAAATTATTATAATATAACCTGTGATATGTGGAGTTAATGCTAGATAATTATATTTAGTATTAGTGTGAAACATTAACTCCACATATCACATATTATATTAAAATAATTTTAGTAATGATTTAAGTAATAAGAAGTGATCATTTGCGGGATTAGAATGTTTTGAAGGTTTCTTTTATTCTAATAAATTGTGATGGTAATTTCATCGGTTCTTAATTTATTTTGTAAACTGTCCATTTGTGATGTTAAAATTTATTGTGAAACATAATGACCCGAGTGGGCTATGATTTCACTAACTAGTGAGTGTCACACTTCAATTTGGAGGAAGGGGATGCCAATTCCTTGCAAATCGATAGTGATATAAGATTTGGTATGCGTAGAATTAATAATTCTAGGCTGACATGCTAGAACCTTTATTAATTTGGTCTTAATTGAGAACCTGAGTCCCTAGTAGGTCATGTAGAGATGACATAGTGGGTAATCTGAAAGTGAGAGACTAGAATCTACTCAGCACTACCATACAATCAGAAACTTAATTAAGATTATCCAATGTTCTTGCACTCATGCACTCAGGAGAGGGTAAAGAATATGTATGCTCCTATTTGTCACAATACCTTATTTTCATCCTTAAGTATTTAATTCTTACACTGATTACAATCTCTTTGTAAGAGGAAAAATTTTCTATTATAATTGCATTTCGTTATATAATCTTTTAATTCAGAAACTTTGCATTTACTTTTGGTTTTAATTAGACGTAACAATTTTAGTTACATTTTTTTTACAAACAGTTCGATATTATTTTCCTTCAAAATTAGTTTACAGTTTAAATAAAAATATTTCTAAGTTACCATAGTAATTTCCTTATTTCCTATGGGTTCGATAATGAAGTTTTTAAAGAAAACTCTGAAGTTTTTAAAGAAAACTCTATATTACTTGAAACGATACGTATACTTGCATTGTACATCTACTGTGCAAGGTCATTAATCACTTTCATCACAAATTTATTTTGCACACTAGACGCTTAATATAAATTGGGTCAAGATTTAGGACATCATTCAAAACTTAAAATAATTACGTAATTGCAGTTCGGGTCACCAACTTACCAGGATAAGCTGCAGATCAACAACTTATTTGGATAAGCTGCAGCTATCCCAAACCGACCATAAACTGATAATTTGCAAAATTAAGGTGTTATCATTTTAATAAGCTTTTATTACCCACCTACCCCACCCCACCCATCCATGAATAAAGAATATGTTTTTTAATAAGGATTATGGGAAGAGTAATTAACCCATTTTTAAGAATAGTTAATTAAAGGTATTTTAATAATTATATAGGTGAAAAATTGTTATAAATCTTTTTATATCTTGAACTCATCGCTCCAAAATTTTTGAAAAAAATGAAAAAATAGCTCCCAATATCTGTAGTAGTACTGTGGTAAAAATATTGCATAATTGAATATCAATTGACTACATAGAACCTATTTTTATTAACATGTATCCATTTCATAAGAAAAGTCCATACATTCAATAATATTTACTACTCTTTGAATTGGTATATTTTTTTATTTAAAAAAATCAAGTTTATAATATATGCATACAAATTATTTATTGGTTGCATGTTAAAGTTCCCAACTCGTAGATTTTCATAGTATTCTCTTTTTATTTTCTTAGCAAATCATTTGTAAAATAATCAAAAAATAAAAATAGCCTACAAATACGTCACAATATATACTAAGAAAGAGGAGAAAATGTGAGCGATTTTTGAAAATTTTATTTTTTGGGTCGTATAATTTAAGGTTGATGTGATATGAACATCTCATAATTTATTGAGCTCATCCTCTGATTAACATTAAAGTTCAATGCTGCAAATATATGTTAAGAATGTCTAAGTAAATATATATTTTGGCATATGATTAACTTAATTATTTTTATTAAGAAATATTGAAAGAAATGGAAGCCATTTTCCTAAAATTTTTAAACTTAAAATAATAAATGCATAAAAGTAATATATGCATAGCTTATTTTATTTCAGAAAATAAATAAATAAAATTAATAATCTCCATTTTGTGATTATTAGGGGGTTATTAAGAGATTATTAAAGTATTAATTTCAATAACATATAATCCAATAAACTTTCATTAACTTTCAAGATTCTATTTTGATGTTATTCATGGATTATTATGAGAGTATTAAGCGGTTAATAAAGTAGACCTGCTGAGGCCTGAAGAACTATTTTAGGAGAATGTTGGCAGTACCGGTGCTCGCATCCTTTAATAGTTTTTAGCAAGCGTTTCTTTCATAATAAGTGGTTCCGGCGGAACACCATTACATGTGCCGCCCCCTATGATTTGAAATGGAGCGCTTCTCTTGCTTTCCTCTCAGATCTCTACTTGCATTTCTCTCCCACTCTCGCTCTACTGCTCACTGCTGAGCTTCGCTCTATTTGGCTCATTCGTCCATGGAACCCCTGCAAACCCTAGCTCCTTCCTGCAGAGCGGCGTCTCCCCTTGCTCCCCGATCCCTCTCTAGTAGCGGCAGAAAAACAAGCTCCGTTCTTGCGAGTCCCAGATCCGGCCGGGAAAACATACCGCCGAGCCATCCGAACGTACACATCGATCGTTCATCTTCAACTTTGGTTTCTAAGAAGAAGCAGCGAGTAGCTCCTATCGTTGGGGAAAACCCTGCTTTTCATGGTCCAAACGATGGATCCGTACCGCCCACTGATGATTCAGTCAAGGTCCCATAATATGCTGTGAATTCTAGCTTTTCTAGTAATTCTCTCTATATATTTTTATTTTTTCCGTCCCTCTTCCGGATTTATACCAAGATTTGACAAAATAACTTGAGAGACGGTTTAAATATAAAAGAAAGGAAAATCTACCCATCTTCTCTCTTGTTCTAAGCTTTGCTGAATGAGAAAGTTAATGATTTGGGAATTTCGTTTACATATCACTAAATTTATATTTATTAGTATATCTAATATCTAAATCTTTATATTTATTTATATAATACACTATTATTTATATGATATCAAAATGTATGCATGAAAATGTTTATTTCAGTATAGATGGTAAATTTTAGTGATGTTTTTGATGCCATTGAAAGGTAATTTGGTTTCAATATTCTCTTGAGAATATATAATCCTTTCAATGGGGCATCTTCAAATAGATCTTTCAAAGTTTCCCTTGTTGGAGACCTTAAGGTGATTCCATGTCAAGATTTTTTGATTTCCCTTTTTCACTTATTATGATTGTGATGGAGGAGTCCTCACTTGGCTCTATTTCCATTGTGGTTATTTGAATCATTGAACTTTTTCATTTCAATTTTTATTGGATCCTTGGTTTTCTTATTTCCATTGGTGCAGGTTATTGTGAGAATAAAGCCAGATCAATTGAAAGGAGGTTCTCGAATTTTTCAAAGAATTACCTCTGATACTTTGTCAATAGGGGATCAAACATACTCTTTTGATTCTATCCTTGATTCGGGGTCTTCTCAGGTAGAAATCTCCTGTATCTTTTATGTCAATATATTTTGGGAAGTTCCTACCATGATAATCGTCTAATGCTCTCAGGTGGACGTCTTCAATTTAATTGGAGTACCTCTGGTGAAAAATTCCTTGGCTGGTTTCAACAATTCGGTAGTCTCTTATGGACAAGTATGCATACTCTTGGCATGTGAAGTTTATGATACCTTTTCTCTTTATCTTATGCATTATGTGGGATTTCCTGCTAAATAATTAGCTAACGAAATAGAATCCTTTGAATTATGATCAGTCAGGAGCTGGAAAGACATACACCATGTGGGGCCCACCCGGTGCAATGGTTGATGGTTCATGCATCAATAGCTCCCAAGGCATTGTGCCTCGCATCTTCCAAATGCTATTTTCAGAGATTAACAAAGTAACTTATATTTTTTCATCCTCATTTTTCCTGTCTTGTTCAAATTAATGCCTTGGTTGAGTCAAAGTACATATGCGAACATTTCTCCTTCTCATAAAACCCTATAAAATATTTTGCAGTTAGTCTTCTCTTTCTTTCAAAGGGTATATATGAAGTTTTGAAAAGTTATTATACACTTGAACTATATTAGTTTAAGTATCTCTGTTATTTAAACAGAAGGGAGAAAATTCTGCAGGAGTACAAACAAATTATCAATGTCGGTGTTCTTTTCTTGAGGTTTGTTCTTCTTATACGATTACCAAGTTAGCTAAATGAACTTCTCTCATTTTCTTGTTTATTTTTATTTCTTTTGGGTCTTTTAAACATTTTGTTTTTTTGTAGATATATAATGAGCAGATAAATGATCTTCTTGATCCAACTCATCGGAATCTGCTGGTAAATTTGTTATTTCATTTGACATGGCCATGCTGATATTTTTTCTCTTAATTTGTTTATTCTCAATTATGATTTTTTATATAAGTTGATCGTTGTTCTGAGCAGACAAGGGATGAGGCCAAACACTCTTTTCAGGTTGAAAGTTTGAGTGAAGAGTATGTTAGCACCATTGATGATGTTACTCAACTATTGGTTAAGGTATTCACAACATGGAATTATATTTGTTCAATTTTTAGGATGAGCAATGTAATTTACCAATTGCATTTAACAAAGTTTGTTTTCTTTTGCCTAAGTAATCATTACTAGAAGGTACAACCTCAAAACACATTCTTCAAATATCTTGAACAATTTTTTTTAGAATAGACTCAGACCTATTTCCTTGTTCTCAAGTCTACAATCATTGTAGATTTATTCATATAAGGATATCTACAAAAAAAAAAATTATGTTTGTATAGGTTGCAGTCCATTTCATGGTCCCCAAGTCCATCACTGATATATATATATATATATATATATATATCCAAGCGGAACTAGTGGTCTATTGGTTGGCTATTTCAGCGTAAGTTCTCTCTGTCCCGGGTTCGAATCCATCTGGGTCGAACTAGCACATATGCGGTGGACAGGCACATGTTGTCGTCCATCTTTATATATAT